AATCAAATGAAACTGCCGAGTCACTCCATAGTCATCTTGAGCAACTCGAGAAGCCAAGAAAGATAGGTTACAAGCTAAGGGCCGGATGAGACGTCCAATGTGGGATGTCCCACTCTCCCGACCAGAGAATCTCAAACTGTAGCACTAGGGTCGACCAGATCTGCTGACTGAGACGTGCAACTCGCTGATTTCAATAGACTCACTGTACGGAATTGGTCGAAATCCTCACCGGCTGCGTAGTTGCCGATGAACGCCATGAATACGAATATTGCAACAGAGGTTATACCTGCTCAATGAGGAGTTGAGCCGATCGTCACTGAGATCTCAACGGACCGAAATGAAATATTTCATCTCGAGCAGTGAACCACGTCGAGGAAAGCACTGCTACCATCGGATGACCAGCAAGGCACTTGATAATCCTCCATATAAGGAGGTACCTTCGCTTAAAGCCATAGAGAGCCATACAACCAAGAAGCTCACATGAGCAACATTCCGAACTTGGCCGAGTAAGTTTCGCTGTGCAGTGAATTATTGAGATCGAGGAGTCTTGCGTGCATCTGAGGGAAAGACAAGACACAAATTGGGTAATTACCGTAATTACAACGTAGAAGTGTGACATACATAGGCAGCGGTACCTCGGTAGGTGAGAGGTGCGCATCGACCATTTTGGTGACCACTTGAGCGTGACGTTCGGCACTTGAAAAGACACTGCCAGGATTGCACAATCATTTGAAGGTCGAAGTTTCTGCCGGGTCTGATACTCACACAATGCTTCTCCAAACGACAAAGCTAAGGATGAGACAGTTGACTATCAAACTCCCTGAGAACCTGCATGCACACGAGGGGGGTTGATCTGCATCAGAAGCAGGTGGTATTATCTTTCCTTACCAAGAGAGCTTCCTCCTGATGACCTCCTTGAGCCCACGATGTAGTTGTGGCTGGCTCTTTTGCAAGAAGCTTGCTCCTGATACAAGAAGCTCCGCTAGACGTATCGCTTTTTGAACCAACGAAGAGGACCTTCGACCATCCGAGCTTCTCGTGACACGGATTCGATATCATGACCACGCATAATCCGAACTGACCGTACGATTCTATGACTGAGAAGCTTCCCGTGTGGAGCGGTTGTGGTGACTGTAAATGAGTTCACCTGTCTCTCGAGATCCCAAAGACGCACAAGACCAACGCTAGACAGTTCACAGCTATCCATGCGTGAGACGATGGCGCAAAGACATATCTGGCGAGGCAAGCAGCGATAATGCATCATCAGGAAGGCTTTCAAGTGTCACGATGGATTTCGACTTCTACCACCCGTGTTCGGAAGAAATCTCGCTTAGTATGGTCGGATCGGTGCGACCTGCAATGGACCTGCTCGGTCTGTTTATCAATACCCAATCGCTTGCTTGTCCGTTTCCATTGAAAACGCAGGATGGAGACTATACTTGCTCCAGAATCGTGCCCTGTGCTGAGAAGACCCACGAGGACCTAGAAGTGCAAGACTATGTAATGTCTGCGGTCGAGATCCCTCGAAGTAATTGGGCTTTCTTGGAAGGCTTTTCTCGGAGCGGTGGCGAGTCGCCGCCATACAATAACGGGACCACCTCTATGCGGTCGACTTGACCTTCTCCAAGACGAGTATTGAAGTTAGAGTCCTCGAGAGCCTCAGAGAGGATGTAAACTCTGGTCGATTGGTTCGAAGGAGCTGAGCGGAATACCTCGTTGATAGTGTGAGCTGCCGCTGAACCAGGATCTCTGGACTAGAGAGGGAACGCTGCAATGATTCTCGAATTCTCCCTCTCAAGCAGTTTCTTCGCGCTCCACTACGCTTTTGGAGGAGCTCACAAGTTCATTGGTCTATATGCAACGCATGTTCGCTATACGAAATGCATTCTGAAAGTTCTAGAGAGGCGTTCAAGTACGTGTAACTCACTGAGAGGCCCGAGACCGCCTCCTTGGAATAATCTGCGAAGAGCAAGAGCACATCTCAAGATGAGAATCTGAGTTTCCGCTGAGCTCATACCCTCCAGGAATCGGCAGCCTTGCTTGTCCAGCAAGTCGGGTATAGACCTTCTTCATCTCCGATGAGCATTCTCTTTCTCTAAGACAGGAGACTATCCTTCCCTCTGCTGGCGTAAGCCTCCTGCCCACGCAGCTATAGTCTCCTCAAACATAGTAGGAGGGAACATCGTGAACTGCGTGTACTGGTAATCGCTCATGATCAGATCGGGTCCTCGAGGAGCATGCAGACTGTAAGTATTGGTTACCTCCGATACCTGATGAACCGTTACAGCTGGTTCGCATAGAGCGTGCCGTGTACTCCTCGTAAAGAGTTCAGGATAGGCTCCCAGCTCGTGGAGGACTTCCAATCCCCCAGTCCTAGCGAGAAACCTCCCGCCTCTATGAAAGGCCGCGTGAGGACCTAGGTCAATTTCTCTGCGGGGATATTCTATCGCCTCCTTACACCAGTTCGATAGGAACTTGGGTCTGTGAGGTAGATACCCAGGAAAACAAGTCCAAAGAAAACCAGGAGGATAACGAGCCTCGTCCCAAGAACCTTACGAAAATACCAAAAGAAGATCAAGCATGAAGAATGCTGCTGCCCTCTCCGCTCTCTCTGCGTTGAGTGGATCTTACATGCAGCTTATCTCAAGTTCGAGGCGATTGATGAGTATTCGTCTGTCGATCTGGGGAAGAGAGCTTCTTTTGAAGTTCAGTCTCTGAATAACTTCCCACCTATAGAACTTTCTGCGCAAATCCTCTGGATTTTTATTGCGGACGCAGTTCGGTCCAGAAAACCCTTCGTGGGCTGTAACTCTTTCGACTTCAAGAATGAGTTCCGGATCATGGACATTACTCGTGCCATCGATGACCTCCTCATCATATGGAGCCGAGGGAGCAAATTCAATGGAGACCAACAGCTGAGCGCGAAACATATCCTCGAACCTTGACTGCTGTGACACATGGCTTTCAAGCGAGTTTCGTCGAAGCCCTGCTAACTGTTTGATTGCTCGCCGGCTCTCAAATCTCTGGGTGCACGAATCATCATAAATGGCAGGCTGCTCAGGCTCGACGATCCTAGCATAATTTTGGTCGGGAAGAGCTCGAATCGTGGATTGAGAAGCACCCCGACTGGACTTCTGGTCCCTCTGTTGCTCGCAATTTGCGGGTCGCAAAAGATTCCCTTTTTTCCCGTTCGTCCTGAAGCCCGTTAGAAGCATTTCAAATGCTCGGACTCGTGGCAAGTACAAATGCTACATTTGTACTCGCCACGGTGGCTGACGAATCGAGTCCGCTCAAGTTGAACGGCATAATGCAGGTACAGGGCAGTCGCGGATCCCCCTGCTTAGTCGGTGGAGCCGTTCACAGAGACCTTGTCGCGGTCACGAGAGAAAGTTGTGTTCGCAAATGCTAGTGAGATGGAGATGCGAATCGAACCTCCGTCATCAAAGAGATACGACTGGTTTAACAATACATTTGCTTTCTCTCCATCTTTCACATTCTCATTTCGAGATAGCTCACTTGACGACGGAACCCCTTCCGCCTTGCGACGATGTCTTGCGAGAAGATTTTAACCCAAAAACTTGTCCCACATACAACACAACAACTCAGCAGAGTAACTGACGCTGCAGGAGTCACTTGAATGATATGCGAGACGCAAATTTCGTTTGTGAACGACGGAGGAATGTACCAGTATTGGTATTGGCACGCAGCACAGCATTGCCAATGCTGCCTTGGAGCTAAGGTCGGAGTATTCGGCGAGCCAACGGACTCTGTGATAGAACAGGAGCAATCTTCGAAGCTTCGAATGGCATCATCTTCTGCCTTGGGGAGAAGCTCAGCACCTACACCAGAGGTCGACTTGCGTGCTTAGAAAGTGTTTCGTTCATACGGTCACTTGGCCTTGATCGATCTGACTCAACTGACTCTCTATCTGCCGTTGACTCATCTGCAAGAGATCCAGAGCCGAAATATCAGCCTTCCTCGAAAGCAGATCTAGTATGTTCCGAAAACGACCACGGGATCTCTGCTGCCATGATCTGTCAATCCTGGCAGCAACACTCATTATGGAGTCGAACCTTTTGCCGAATACCAACACTCACCGAACAGTCAGTGTTTTAGCGAGGCTCTCCCATCTATCGAGATCTGTAGTATTTATCCGGACAAGACCTTCCTCTACATTTTGAAGCAGCTCCTGGAACCTTTTGATAGCTAGTTCGATTTACAAATCACTGCTACCCCACATCACCTTGGAGGTGGGAAAATACCAACGATCTGCGCGAAACGTACAACTGCTCGAGTGAGAGCAGCAACTGCGAGTCGCAGGTCTTGGACGTTTCCTAACGGTTCCTGGGGAGCGATAGTATGCTTCGAGATTTTTAGTATTAGAGCAGACCGTCTCGAAGTATGTCTTACGTTGTGTGCTCCACCTAGTTTTGACTGTGGCTAACAGGAATAAGTTTACTATGCGGTTACACATCAGATCACTCAACTGCCTGTCTCGAATCTCCCTCGTGAGCAGTATTCTCAGGGCTATTCATCCTGTATTTTATCAAACGGCGCTGTAGGGTGGCGATTCGGGCGTCCGTGATTCCTGATTCGAAGAAGTATTTTCGTCGCTTAGCGCTGCAACAGTGTTTCAATGAACAGGGCAATTCGTTCACTCAAGTCACTGCGTAGAGTCCTTTCGATCTCGGCGCTGGTCCGTCGACTCTGACCTAGTTCCTCAGTCAGCCGTTCAGCGCTCTTCTTCATTTCGCTCATCTGTGAGCATTGATGGACAAAGGCTGTCAACAAAATCTCTGCCAGAGTGAGGAGCTCACCTCCCGACGGTAGGCGTTCATTCGCTCAGACAGTCTCGAGACTTCCTTCTTGACGTCGGTCAAGTCGCCACCGAGGGGCCCCGGGTTCAACCACGGCCGTTGTTGATCTCTTCTAGAGCTCCCTACGTCGATGCGGGCGAGGTCACCATTAGCTGGGAGCGTATTGACTGGTGAGTCCACGTCTGGACTCCAATCTGCGTCCATACCAGCCGCGTTACTGTGCCCGGACTCAGTGCGATGCCGACGACCACTCATGACAGACGCTTTGATGTGACGGTGGTTGGGCTCGAGGGTCATTGCCTCCTGAGCATGACAGTCTGGAGCGATGAAAGTGAGAATGAGATGTTACATCGATGCGAGAGCGACTCGTCAACACGGTCTGCATCGCATCAGTTTTACTCCTCAACTCGTCCAGCTCGGCATTGAATCCATCCATAGTAGCTGCCAAATCGTCCATATTTTCCAAGCATAGTGCGGTAATCTGCCTAGAGTAGTCCCCTTGATCCAGCCCTGGCCTGTCAACCTATTGAGAAAAGTCAGAAACTCCCATGTTTCCCTGGGTGGTTCTCACCGATGGAGCTAACCGTACGTCATTAATTATATTTGCGAGCAGGTCGTCATTCCTCTCTCTGTTCGAGCTAGGCTTCTTCCCGCCACGAATATTCATCGACTCAACTAGGCGAGTTAACTCGTCATTTTTAGTTTCAAGTTGGAGCATCCTGGCTTGAATGTCACCAGCTCTGGCTCTGGCACTTTCAACTCCCTCAAGCTTCGCTTCAACGATGATGAGACGCCGTTGCAGAGTCTTCTGATCGACCAGTTCCTCCGGGCCCTGCCCGCCAAGCTGTGCAGAGGACCATTTACGGTGGAACCCTCTCATTGACGAGCCGATAGCGTTGAGTCTATTCTCTAGACCAGCCACAGCATCCTCGATTTGCTCCATCCGGGAAATGACATCATGTTCCGGAGAGGCAGAGCCGGACTCGTCTCTGGTCCCGAGTTCCTCATCTCGAACATCCATCCTATGCTCTAATGCCTGTATTCGTCCAAGTAATGCATTCAAGACGTCTCCGTTTATGCCGCTGGTCTGTTGATCGATCTGTATTAAGTGTTTTTTCAAATTCTCGCCGATTCCTGCCGCCAGAGAGGTCTTACGATTCACCGCGCAGAGGAGGCCAAGGCAAAGCTTCACTTTCTGGAGGTCGTCTGCACTTCCACCTGTTTTGGGAATGGGTGCTTTTCTAGCCTTCAAGACGGCTTGACGGCTCCGCTCTCTCTCTGGAGCATCCATGACTTGAATGTGTTCATCAATACGATCAAGCCGAGCCCACAAGGTGTTAAGATAATCACCATTGATGCCACTGGTCTGCGAGTCGATTTCTTTTATAAATTTCTCGACTTTCGGGAGCACCTCTGATGAGCTTGCGACTCTCCTCAGAGTAGCGCAGACGAGACCAAGGCACAGCTTCGCTTTCTGGAGGTCCTCTAGATCGTCCCTGCGGGAAGATGTTAGCCCGCTTTCAGTCACCACCTCGCCTTGGTCCTTTTTCAGCTTGTGAATGATTCTCCCTTCTTGAGCCAATACTCGGTGATGAAGCACCGTGAGTACATCACCGTGTATGCTACTGGTATGTTTATCAATTTGTGCGATATACTTTTCTACTTTCCCTAGAACCCCTTGAGCTGAGGCCAAGCGTCTGAGTGTTCCACATATCAGACCTAGTGACAGTTTCACTTTTTGCATCTCTTCGTGCTCCACACATTGCCGACTCTCTACGGCGAACTCCTCAAGAGCACCACCATCGAACAGAGCTTCCATTGCATCGATTCGACTCGAAAGTGTATTAAGGAAGTCTCCGTTGATATGATGAGTCTGAGTATCGATCTGGTTCAAGTACTTACCGAGTTTATCAGCAACATCAACTGCCAGCGCTGTTCGCCTCAGAGCGCCACACACTAGACTTAAACACAGTTTCACTCGCTGCAGATCGCTGGACATTTCAACTAAGCCCACGGCCGACTCACTTCTACACTCGATCATTCCTCCGCTTTCATCTGACAACGCAAAGACACTGATAGGGATAGGAGAATACTCTGAACGAATGTTCGTCAATTCAACGATATATTATGACATTCCCGCTGATGCGGTTGTGAGGAGCGCATTAAAGCGCGAAAAAAGTTGGCATGAAGCCTTCACTATGCGAGGTAATGCTATACAGGCAATAGATGATCATCATGATCATGGCACTCTCATGAGAATCTTGATCGACAACGAGCCGAATCTCTTACGAGCTCGGCGACACAGTCGAGCCCGCCGAAGCAGTACACTGTTGGAGCTCGACGGGAGGCTCCTCTTCACAGTACATCAGTGCGAGGAAAAGGTCCTTTCTAGACACAATTCCGACAACTCGGTCCGACTCCTCTACTGCAACCACAAGGAGATGTCTCAGACCCAACTGCCTGAACAAGTTATATGCTTTGTCGAGGGGGAAGGATGCTGGAACTGTTAGAGGGCAACGATTAGCGAGGTCCACCAAATCCAATACCTCATTTCGTGATACTGGACCGTGTCGCCATAAGTAGTCTTCTATTGCCCGACGTGAAACTAAGCCACGGAGCTTACCCCTACTTTCGACGATAAACGCGCAATGCTCAGACTTTGTGAGGACTGTATGAATTCTCTCGAATGTCTCTACTGTGCTGAAGCTCGTGAGAGGCGCGGGCGACATTGCTGATGATATGCTCTTACCCCTCATTGCGTACTCATGGTAAGAATCGAGCTCCTCTAAGTAAGGAACCTGTCGAACTTCCAGTACAAGATCATAAGCACCTTTAAGGAACAGATCAGCTACTTGCTTCGCCACAATGACAGTGATCATAATATAGGGGAGCTGTTGCAGATCTCCAGTGATCTCAACAACGATGGCAGTCAGGCTTATAGTCAT